ACATAACAAGCATGCACAGAGCAAAGACAAGACATGTACTTAGGGCAATTTTAAGAGCAAAAACCTATCTTTAGCAATAAAGATATTAAAATAGTGCTTGTGCTCATTTTACTCATACAGGAAGGTTTAAAAAGAAACTCTTTAGAGAAATGAAAGATCACTAATAACTGCAGTTTCCTGAACAATTAAATGAATTCACAAGATTACAACCTACTGAGGAAATGACAAATATTTCTGATTTTTATGGAAGGACTAAAAGGGCGCTTTTATCTATAGCATCTATTCTGTAAGAATCACTGTTAAGTAATGAAGCTATTTTTATTATTTTCCTACTTATTTCAGGAGCGATCAACATGGTAACGGTCTGAAAATTGGGGAAACTTAACATTGCTCTTTGGAAAGTTAATATTCCGTATTAAAATACGTTTGTCAGAGTTTTCTTTTTTACCTTTCGAAGTTGGATCTTAGAGGACAGTGTGCATTTTAGCAAACCTTTTATTTCTAATGTGTCAGCAGAAAACGTCCTTTAAGTTACCTAGTCTAATTCTCTGACAAATACACTTTCTAAGGCTGTCCCTCCGTGCATCATCCTAATGTTGTTTGGACGTGATAACATTCTGTGTGTGAAGGTCTTGTTTGGAAAAATCTGCTCTTTTTAATAACTGATTCAATAAACTGTTGATGAATGATTTGTAGAATGTAGTATGACCAGTGGGCAAGGTTTCTGCCATTACACACCCTGTTCAATCCACCCACAAATGTTGCTGTGTCTTCCTCGTGTTGTAGCGCCTTATGGCATTCAGAATAGCAATGCAGAGATCAATACACTCTCTGCTGAAAACAACAGAACATAACAAATGAGTAATTTTATTTACAATAAAAGCCCCAGTCCTCAAATGGATACCACTAATGTTTAAATTCATTTTCATGCTCAATTCAAGAAGAGAGATAGGCACAGCACAAAGCAAAGGGAGTGGTATAAGGAGAAGTATTAACCATAATGGTTCAAATTGATTTAAGCCATGAACAATAGCTGGGCTGCACTGAGACACATGAATAATACGTTTGCTGCCGAATTCTGAATGTGTACTCTTCAAAATGATTCTATCACCAAGAAATTCTGAAAAGCAGTTTCCAGTAACAAGAAATTAATGGATTAAAGACATTCTGACATATTTTTCTAAGCGTTGCACCACAGAAGCCAAAGTGTATTCAATAGGCTTTAAACAGTGTTGGCAAGGACCAGAAGTGTTTGCTTCAGGTGGGGACAAGGAGGGACTGAAGTAGCTATTTCGAGAATGAAGCAAATCATCCTCCTTCAAAAGAGTATCTTTGGCCCCTGATTTGACAGTTCTTTTTCTTCCTCTGAAAGCTATGAAAAAGTCAGTGAGCAGAGTCATAAGAAATAAGTGTTGGGGTAGGGGCAGCAAAATGTTAGAAGAGACACAAGTTCAAAGATGACATTTACAAGTCTCTCATGAATGGCGCACTCCCCAAAGGGCACCTGAATACCATTTTTAAGAAGAATTCATCAAACATACAAAGAAAATGTTCCATTTTATATGAAAATGCCAATACACTGCCCTTAAAACACAGATTGGTCCATTCACAAATTAACATGTTAAGAAATGGCAAAGAACCTTTTCCCATCTGCCATCAATTCATTCACTGCTTTTAGACTTAACTCCCTACACGCACGCAACTGTAAACAGAATTGTAACGGACAAAGGATGAAGGGAGAGCTGGGAAAATATAGCTTGGACATGATACTAAAACATCTGGAAAAAAGTGGTGATGAGACTTGGCTTTGTGCATAGAAATCGGGAAGAGGTGGGATTTTGGCACACCTTTGTTTCCCTATTCTGTTACCTGGAACAACGCATACGCTCCTGATGTTTCCAGTTTCACTTTAGATTCAGTCAACATAGAACATTTGGGTGCTAAGAAAAAAGAGACGTGCAGGAGCAGGTTCCGCCCATAGGAAGGAAAGACAGTGCATAGAGAAACAGGGATGCACATACTTTGGATAGGAGGCAGACTGGGCTGTATGGTCATGGTACCTGGAACAGGGTATGAGCTCAATAATAAAGTACTGAATGAATCAACATGTGAATAAGGAAGTGAGTGTCACCAACGAAGAGGACAGATTTTTTTCTTTTCTGTTGTTGTTGTTTTCCCTAAGAGGGTGGGACAGTTATCAAAGCACTTCATTTGAAATGAAAAGGATGGGGAGCATCTCCAGGTGAGGCGAGAGGCAGGATGTAAGGTATGGTAAAGGAATAGTACAACACATATTCAGGAAATAGCCGGAAAGAGAGGAGAATGACGCAGTACAATGAAGATCCTTAAAAACTATTCTAAGGAGTTTGGATTTTATCCTCGAAAATTAGATCTTCATTATTGGTTTATTAACAAGGGAAGAGGAGAATGGTATAGTTAGGGCCGTGGTTTAGAGTGAGTTATAGGCTGGGCTGGAAAAGCCCAGAGGCAGGGAGATGAACCACACCTAAGGGTTACCCTAGGGCAGGCAGGATAGAACAGGGAGGATGACAAAAGCCCACTCCACACATCTCGCCATTTGGGAAATGTCAGCGGGCAGAGCTAACCATGTCTTCCAGCCTCAAATCTCAGGACAAAAGACTATAGTTTCTGCAAGCAAATGACTACCTCATTAAGATGCATCTCCCAGTTGTAACATGGCCGAGTTTATAAAGGTAAAATAAAATAAAAAGTTACAAAATCATCACATAGAATACATTATCTACTGGCCCAGAGACTGTTTTAAACACTGCAGATGTGAATTAGCCTTACAGAATATACTGATTTTTAAAATGTTCTGGTTCTCACTGTTCTCGTAATCAGAAAGGGTTGGATCCTTCTTACTACCTTCCAAACAAACTGAAGTTTGTTAATTTTAATAAAATATTCTCCAAGCCCTTGGTCTTTACTCAGATATACAGTAACTGATCAGGGTTCATTTCCCAAATGGCAACACCAATGCCATCCATTAAGAAACTAGTTGTCATTCACTACTTGCTCACTGTTCACTACAGATATTTTCCTAGACACAGATATTTCCGCGTAATTATTGAGTCCAAATTTATATATGCCCCGGTTTTACACACCACATTTTCCGAGTTTGTTAAAAGTCTGAAATACCAAGTTACTCTCAAGATATGAGTTCAAAAATTACAAAGCAAAGTTCATTCCATTATTAACCACCTTCAAAAGGGGCCATTGTGGCGAAACCCTGTCTCTACTAAGTATATAAACATTAGCCCAGTGTGGTAGTGCCCGCCTGTAGTCCCAGCTACTTGGACAGCTGTGGCATGAGAATCACTTGAACTTGGGAGGCAGAGGTTTCACTGAGCCAAGATCATGCCACTGCAATTTGGCCTGGGCTACAGAGCAAGACTCTGCCTCAAAAGAAAAAGAAAAAAAAAGTGGTGCATCTCTATGACCTCTCATTTTCATAGCACAAGGAATTAAGGTCTGTTTGTCTAAATTCACATTTTCATCCCAGGTCCCTTTATTTCTTCTCTCAAAGTCAATTAAGGCTGGCATCTAGACAGAGATGACATTTAAACCATATTCTTTTGACAACTGAATTTACAGACATTTTGCTTTAAAAAAATTCCCAAAGGAAAAAGCCCACCGCAAACTTACAGCAAAATAAAATGTTTCTGTTATTCCAAGAAATTCCAGTCTTTTAAAAGAATTCAATACAAAATTAGCATTAAACTTAAATTGTTGTCTTCTAGGGACTTTCTAAATCATTCTAGTACTTTTTTCAATAAACAGAAGAAAATAGTTTCCTTTTAGACTCATTTCATACATTTAAAAGAAGATTTTTAAACATTAAGAAAAATTAACAATTTATTTGGCTAGAATTTTCATTCCGGAAATTTGGGAGTCTATAACACAATCACAATTATCTTTTGGTGAATGTTTTTCTTATTCATATTTTTTTTCCGCATACAATAGTTATATGGCTAGGAAGGAAGATTATTTATAAAGTTCTCAAGCACTCCCAACATTTTCACTGCAAAAAAAAATGTAACTTACTCTGAAAAACCTCTTGGCATATTTGTACATTCAGAACTACTAAGAAATTCATTTTAAAGCAAAATCATGTCTCAGTGTGGAAAATACTTATTATCTGAAAATATCAAATTTTATTCTGTTGTCTTCTGCATAGTAAACTAAATTAAGGGGGAAAGAAAAAAAAAAACATCCTGAAGAGTCAATACAAAATTCATATGCACACAATCAGGGGTGATACTTTCAACAACATAAAAATAGCTCCCCAAGCATTTCACCAATACTTGTTATTCCCACTGCAAAAGAATAGAGCTCCTGCTGAAGTCTACAGGAGGAAAGACTACAGCTCAGTAGTTACAGGGAAATAAAACAGCTCTACCACCAATGACACTGGTCAATGATCTACAAGCTGGTATTTTTCCCAAGAGAAAATGCTATTTCAGGTCCTAATATTTTATTTAAAAAGTTTATATGTATAAATTTAATTAAAATGCACAACTTGAATGATCTCCAAGAGGTAAAGCAACAAAGCCGGCCTCAAATCCTCACCTATCTTACCTCCACATCACAAACGCACCATCCAATTTATTAAAAGTCACAACAGACAAGTTGAAAACCAAGTGCCCGTGATAGTCATTGGGCCCATTTTAGAAGCACCTATTTATTTACTCAGCTATGGTAGTGAAAAGGTCAAGCAAAAATTCACCTCCAAAGCCATGGTTGCTAAGCAACTCTCTTCAGAAGTTCTGCAACATTGATCAAGCATATTACTGGTGCCACCAACTGGATTCAGAATAAATGTGAGTAACATCTTACCTGGTGTCTCCAAAGTGGGAGGGAGATGGATTCTTTACTTACCTTTTTGGACAGACTGGAGGCCAATCTTGTATTTATATTCATCTGGCTGGTTAGGCTCAGAGGATTTTTATTTTTTCTCTCCAAAAAACAAAAAAGGATACGTCCTGGTACCACAGGTTTCCTATTCACAAGAGCGAAGGACAGTTCCGTTTTGAGAAACACCACAGAAGGCTTGATGAGATGTTGGCCGAATCTGAACGACATTTCGTCAACTGTTGAAGTCCAAAAGAAAAAACAATGGACAGTTATAAAATTTAAATGTGAAACTCAGTTCATATACCACCTTAGAGAAGCAAATTTCATTACTACAGATTCGTAGTTGCAGAGAGGATGCCACTGAAATTGTTCCTCATTGAATGCTCACCAAGATGCATTCTGGGCAAGTCTTCCTAGAATACTCCTACTCTACCTACCAGTAGAGTAGAAGTATTCTCCCTAATCTAATCCTTGATTAGAGTTAGTCATTTTCAAGCAGAAGTTTGCACATGGACAACAAAACCGCCTTTCCCCTTCACTCCCTCAGCACTTCACAGTGCCACCTTAACTCAAATCCACAAGGTCCTATTTGTCAGATACTTATTTTTACCCATCTATTTTGTCATCTCTGCTAAGCTAAACATTTTCATTAAGTATTAACTATAAATCTTATAATTCTTAAATGCTTCTCTCAAATGCTTTTTATTCATATAATGGCAATTTAGAACAAGTACAAACACTGTCTGACCTCGCCTACCATTACAAAAACATGAGCACTCCCAGAGAACTATTCTAGTAAAAACTCCAAAATTAAGGAGGAAAAAAAATTCTTAAAGAAGAAGCAAGAACCAAAATGGAGTTCAAAACGAGAACAATTCCTGGCTGTGATAGAGCCACAAAGCAGCAAGGTACCTGAAATGTTCTGCGTCCTCCTTTTGAGGGAAAGCCATGGGGTGAGAGGGCAGGGGACGGAGGCTGAAAGGAATTTGGCACATGGCACAGCTGAGACAAGCCAAATCCATCTAGCACCAAGGAATGACTTTTCAATCAGATAAATGCCAACATATGACAAAGTTACTTTGTGAATGACTAGGAAGCACCAGCCCTAGAAAACTACTTCATTTTTCTAATTTGGCAACAGCCTAGTACTAAACTGATGAACATGGATCAATCTATGGAAAAACAAAGAAAGGATTATAAAAAGGATAAAATTAGAAAATAGTGGGCTATTTGTGATACTATAAAATATATATTTGTTTTTCAACCCCATTTCCTGGCATGCAACTCCTAAAATCTGTAGAAACTCCAAAGTGATGACTTTTTGTATGCTAATGATTGACAGGTGGCTGGTGGCCTCTAAGAGTCTAGGTTGCTTCAGAACGGGGCTGGTCACAAGGAGGACCAAGGCAGGATAACAAGGCTGGAACTTTCAGCCCCACTCCTCAGTCTCCCAGGAGGACAGAGGGGCTGAAGGTCAAATTGATCACCAATGGTCAATGGTTTAATCACTCATGCTTACATAATGAAGCTTCTGTAAAAACCCAGAAGAACAAGTTTAGGGAGCTTCTGGATAGCCGAACGCACAGAGGTTCCTGGAAGATGACTCACCCTAGGAGAGCATGGAAGCTCCAGGCTCCTTTCCCCATACCTCACCTTATGCATCTTTTCATCAGTATCTTTTGTAATGTTTGCTGTAATAAACTGATAAACTTAAGTATTTCCCTGAATTCTTTGAGCTGCTCCAGCACATTGATTGAACTCAAAGAAAGGACCATGGGGGCCCTGATTTATAGTCAGTCGTAAGTTCCAGAGACCCAGACTTGCGACCAGTGTCTAAAAATCAGGGGCCCGTCTCGTGGCACTGAGCCCTCAACCTGTGGGATCTGAGACTATCTCCAGGTAAATAACATCCAAATTCTACTGAATTGAATCAAAGGACATCCAGCTGGAGTCCAATGCTTGGTGTGTTGGCAGAAAAAAACCACATATTTGGTCACAGTAGTATTCACTGTTGATTGTTGTTGTTGTGTGAAAGCAGAAGAAAAAGCTGTTGAGTGTATTTCTTTCCCTAGACTATTTTATAAAGCACATGAATGCATGATTGTTTAATGATTCTAATATTCTCAATGACACACAAAACACAGAGTTGTGCAAATGTCATTTACTATGGAAGCACCCCATAGCAGAACTTTACACAGTTCAGGTACTAAAGAAATAAGATGGGAAGTTTTGCCTCAGTGATACAGATACTGGTTCTTAGAACATTTACAATGAGTGCTCATTAAAACTGAAGGGTCAGAAAGATGTTGAAAATCATCTAGCCCAACAGTTCTCAAGGTGAGGTCCCTTGACAATAGCATCAGCATCAGTGGGGAACTTATTAGAAATGCAAATTTTGAGGTCCCAACCCAGACCTACTGAACCAGAAACTTTGGGCCCAGCAATCAGGACTTCCAGAGCTGTCCAAGTGATTCAGAAGCACTGATCAAACCCAACTATCCTCCCAATCCTTGAGCCCTTTCCTACAGAATTCCTGCCAAATGCTAGCTAGCATATGCTTGAATACGTCCAGTGATGGGAAGTTCACTACCCATTCCTCCTAAGAAAGTCAACACTACAAATTACATAGGCACTCTTCACACCAAGACTGTCTGTTTTTCATGGCTTTATTACTTGGGATCATATAAAACAACTATCATGCAAGTGAGAGTGCTTCAGATATTTGGGGTTAGCTATTCATTTTTCCTTGTTTTTCTAGAATAAACAGCAAACCACATCAACCATTCTACAAATAGCATTGATTCAAGTGACCTGTGGCTATTTCCCTCCTCCGAATCTACTTCCTATAGTCTTAACCACACCACTTTGATTTTGCTTTTTATAACACCCCACCATATTATATATGTGGGACTATTCCTACTACTGGGTTCGGGGGATGGGAAAGTAACCCCGGCACCCATAGTCCTTTGAAATATGATTGGTTCGGGGGTGGACACAGGACCCCAAATGATCCAATCAAAGGCAAGGACATTCTTCCGAGGAATACTGCTGATAGTAACAAGGCCACTTTCAGCTGAGTTGTCAAGCTGGTAGACTATGAACCTGAAACAGCTATAAGTTTTCCTAAAAAGAGTTGGCTTGATATGAAAGCCAACACCAAGGCAAAGACACTGAAGACAGAGACCCATACCTGATGACACTGTCTGAGCACCTGAATCTAGCATTCCAGGAAGAAGTCATGTCCCTGAAGTTTGTTTTCCTTTCAGGATAATGGAACAGAGTTGAGTTAGCACAGGCGCTAGTTGATGAGCTACTGTTATCATGAGCCCATGAAAGGCTCTTCTTTTTGTTTTTACTTTTCTTCTTATTTTCCTTCTTTTCCTCTATGTCCAGTCCCATTCCTTCCTTTCCCACCACAGGAATTCACTTTTCCATAATTAATGTATTATTCAGAATCCTCTTTACATGTTTGTATACATACATTTTATTTGTCAAAAATATATAGGGCCCTTATACATGGTTTTAAAATTTGCATATAAATTGCAGGTTTTAAATCTGATTTTTCTGTATTCTCTCAACATTGTTTTAGAAACTCATTCATGTTCCCATAAACAACTCCTTCTCACTGCATACACTGTAGTATTCCCTGTCTATTCCTCTAGTACTACACAGCTAGCCTGATTACAACCTTTTACAAGCTACACTGTGACTACCATTCTCATACATGTTTCCCTGGATTCCTATCCTAGCATCCCAATGGTAGGATTCAGGTCGTATACTTACTTAGATTTTCTAAAATATATGCACTGGCTTGCATGCCCGCCCAGCAGCAATACATGAGGATTTCTAATTTCCTATATCCTTACCACCACTTGATAGGGTACTTCCTGCTTTCCAAGCTTTTAATTATTGAATGGTAAAATGCTGTCTCTTCCTTTCACTTCACTTGCCTCTAACAGTGATATGTGTGTATATGCATGTTTCTCCTTCTATGAATTGCCAATTCATATACTTTGTCCTCTTTCATATTGCTCTCCTCCCTTCCATTTTCTAAGTTTCTAGAGTCCCTTGTATGTTCTAAATATTGATCATGGTCTATTAAACATTATAATTATATTTTTACCATCTGTTAATTTCTCTATTGTTCCCTCCATTGAACAGAAATCATTCATTTTGATGTATTCCAAATCCATCAATTTTCTTTTTATAGTTTGTGCTCTGCAAATCTCACAGAACAAATCCCTCTTTACAAGGTTGCAAATATATATATTCCTATATTTTCTTCTATCAACTTTATATTTTCATTCTTAACATTTAGCTGTTTACTCCACTTGGAGCTTTGTTTATAGTATGAAATACAGAAACAGATTCATTTTTCTCTTTTTGTGAGCCAATTTTCCTAGTACCAATTCCTGGGAATGATTGCATTAAGTTCCCATATATACGCAGGATAGGTCTAGACTCCTGTCTATTCTGCTTCAGAGCCAGATGCTATAGAACAGAGGTCACACTTTTGTGTGTGTGTAAAGGACCAGACACAGCAGGCCGCACAGTGTCTGTTACAATTACTCAACTGTGTCATGGCAGCATGAAAGCAGCATGAGAAGGTGTGGCTGTGTACCAGTAAAATATTATCAGAAAAAACAGACAGCAGCCCAGATTTGGTTTATTGGTCGAATTTGCCAACTTCTGCTGTATACTGTTAATGTCTTAAGAAAACAGAGGTCCTCTTTCTGTATTTATTATCTCATAAATTTTAGCCTCAACTCCGCCCCTTTCAAAAAAAATTCTTTCTTAGATGTTGATCAGACTGAATTTAAAATTTAAGAGGAAATGTGACATCTCACAATATTCAATGAAGCCATTTATGAATGCTGCATTTATGCTTTTTAATACCATAATAAAACTCTTGTAATAGAGTTTTAAATTTCCCTTATATGTTTTATGCATTCTATCTTAGATTTATTCCTAGATAAGCTTTTAGTTTATGTCACTATTATAAATGGCATCTTATTATTGTCCTAGTTTATAATTAGTAACTCCCAATATAGCAGAAAACTATTGATTTTTATATGTTCTTATAGCTGGCAATCTAGCTGAACTCTTGCATTGCTCCCAATGGTTTCTGCTGATTCTCTTTGTTATTATATCTATGATTTCACTTAGAAATAATGACAATCGTATTTTTCATTGCAATTTTCCTATTTTTTGTTTCTTTGTCTTACTGTGGTCAGGT